AAACTGTGTAATTCAACCATTCATTTATTCAATCAGCATTCATTTAAGACTTTAGGCATTCAGCTCTGTTAAAGATATATTAGCATTAAAATAAAATCATTTGACACCTCGTGCTACGTAATCTGCATACACTTTGTTATTGGACAATGAACCCGGCAAACACGGCGATCTCTATATCATATCAAATGCTGGGTCAGGGGGGGGGATAACTTGTTATACATAGCAACGAAATAACGTGTCCTATATAACAGCAGATGTCCCACAAGTAAATAAGAGCTTTCCTTTCAGTCCTGTCATGTTGCCATGGCTACGGCTGTCACATGTCAGACATGAAACAAACTTGGTTTGAGTTTGAAAGAAAGAAAAAGAATGCTCTCAATGTTTCCTTTCCATACGTGCTCAGTGAAACAAAGTTACCTGCTTTCAGTTTAACCCAATTCTTCCTAATGTTTGGGTCTTACGTTTAAACAAGGTTAAGCTTTGTGTCTCTAGGGTCATTTAAGGCCAAGTTGTGTGTCTTGCAGTCAGCTGAGGTCACGTTTCGTGTCTTACGGTCAGATAAAGTTTGTGTCTTATAGTCAGATAAGGTTTGTGTCTTATGGTCAAATAAGGTTTGTGTCTTATGGTCAAATAAGGTTTGTGTCTTATGGTCAAATAAGGTTTTTAACTTACAGTCACATAAGGATTGTGTCTTACGGTCACATAAGGTTTGTGTCTTACGGTCACATAAGGTTTGTGACTTACGGTCACATGAGGTTTGTGTCTTACAGTCACATAAGATTTGTGTCTTACGGTCACATTAGGTTTGTGTCTTATGGTCAGATAAGGTTTGTGTCTTATGGTCGCATAAGGTTTATGTCTTACATTCACATAAGGTTTGTGTCGTATGGTCATATAAGGTTTGTGTCTTACGGTCATATAAGGTTTGTGTCTTTCAGTCACATAAGGTTTGTGTCTTACGGTCACATAAGGTTTGTGTCTTATGGTCATATAAGGTTTGTGTCTTACAGTCACATAAGGTTTGTGTCTTATGGTCAGATAAGGTTTGTGTGTTACAGTTACATATGGTTTGTGTCTTACAATCACATAAGGTTTGTGTCTTACGGTCATATAAGGTTTGTGTCTTATGGTCAGATAAGGTTTGTGTCTTACAGTTACATAAGGTTTGTGTCGTACAGTCACATAAGGTTTGTGTCCTACGGTCACATAAGGTTTGTGTCTTATGGTCAGATAAGGTTTGTGTGTTACAGTTACATAAGGTTTGTGTCTTACAATCACATAAGGTTTGTGTCTTACGGTCACATAAGGTTTGTGTCTTACGGTCACATAAGGTTTGTGTCGTACAGTCACATAAGGTTTGTGACCTTCGGTCACATAAGTTTTGTGTCTTACAATCACATAAGGTTTGTGTCGTACAGTCACATAAGGTTTGTGTCCTTCGGTCACATAAGTTTTGTGTCTTACGGTCACATAAGGTTTGTGTCTTATGGTCACATAATGTTTGTGACTCAATACAATTAATACAATTATCAAACAATGTCTTTGATCTTTCCGGTTCCTCTGCAAGAATATTCAAACATTTCTCTTTAAATAAAATGTCAACAGTTATTTAAAAAAAAAGTTTTTCGTGTTTTCCTCTAACACTTTTGTTTTATGTTATTTATTTTTGAAATCATATCTCTTCTACTAATATAAAAAATTCATCAATAATTGACTGCGTCGCCTTGCGACATGAATACGCAATCTAAACTGGAACCTAATACTACCAAGGCCTAGTTATACCTTTCCAAGAAATGAACGATAGACAAGAGCACTGAGCTAAAGCAAATAGTCGTCGTGCCCGTTATAGTTGGCCAAGTTCTTTGGAGGTGGAAACTTCCCATTGCCACGTGGTTCAGCCTGGCAACGGTGTTCAGGTGGTACTCGTCGACAAACACATTTCCCCTCAAAATTCCTCAGGATAAGAATCGAACCCACCACAGTAGCTAACATGGCTGGCATTTCAAGACCAGTATTTCATTGCCAGCATTATGTGGCCAGCATTTCATGGCCAGCATTACATGGCCAGCATTTCATTGGCCAGCATTTCATGGTCAGCATTACATGGCCAGCATTTCATGGTCAGCATTACATGGCCAGCATTTCATGGTCAGCATTACATGGCCAGCATTTCATGGTCAGCATTACATGGCCAGCATTTCATGGTTAGCATTTCATTGTACTGTTATATTTCTACAGATTAATGCCTTATATACTTAACATTTGCTCTGGCCATTGGTCGTATCTAGTGGAGGACCAAAAAAAAAAACCAACCGGGCGATCCCCTGAAATCGCCGCCGCCCCCATCACATTTTATTTTCATGGTGTATTTTAATCATGACGGCCCACATCTAAACAAGACGGCCCACATCTAAACATGACTGCCCACATCTAAACATGACGGCCCATATCTAAACATGAATGCACATATCAAAACATGATTGCCCACATCTAAACATGACTCCCAATATTTTAACATGACTGTCAAAATGTGAACTTGACTGCGCATACATTAAACATGACTGGCCATATCAAACCATGATTGGACACATCTAAACATGACTGCCCACATCTAAACATGAATGCCCACATCTAAACATGAATGCACATATCTAAACATGACTGCCCACATTTAAACATGACAGCCCACATCTAAACATGAATGCACATATCTAAACATGACTGTCCACATCTAAACATGACTGCCCACATCTAAACATGAATGCCCACATCTAAACATGAATGCCCACATCTAAACATCAATGCCCACATCTAAACATGAATAAACTTATCTAAACATGACTGCCCACATCTAAACAGGACTGCCCACATCTAAACATGAATGCACATATCTAAACATGACTGCCCATATCTAAACATGACTGCCCACATCTAAACATGAATGCCCCCATCTAAACATGAATGCCCACATCTAAACATGAATGCACACATCTAAACAGGACTGCCCACATCTAAACATGATTGTCCACATCTAAACATGACTGCCCACATCTAAACATGACTGCCCACATCTAAACATGACTGCCCACATCTAAACATGACTGCCCACATCTAAACATGATTGCCCACATCTAAACATGACTGCCCACATCTAAACAGGACTGCCCACATCTAAACATGACTGCCCACATCTAAACAGGACTGCCCACATCTAAACATGACTGCCCACATCTAAACATGACTGCCCACATCTGAACATGACTGCCCATATTTAAATATGACTGACCATGTTATTACGTGTTTTACGAATCAAAACTAACTCGCTTTAGGATTTCATTTATTTTCAACTAAACATGACTGCCCACATCTAAACATGACTGCCCACATCTAAACATGACTGCCCACATCTAAACATGACTGCCCACATCTAAACATGACTGCCCACATCTAAACATGACTGCCCACATCTAAACAGGACTGCCCACATCTAAACATGACTGCCCACATCTAAACAGGACTGCCCACATCTAAACATGACTGCCCACATATAAACAGGACTGCCCACATCTAAACATGACTGCTCACATCTGAACATGACTGCCCACATCTAAACATGACTGCCCACATCTGAACATGACTGCCCACATCTAAACATGACTGCCCACATCTGAACATGACTGCCCACATCTAAACATGACTGCCCACATCTAAACATGAATGCCCACATCTAAACATGACTGCCCACATCTAAACATAACTGCCCACATCTAAACATGATTGCCCACATCTAAACATGACTGCCCACATCTAAACAGGACTGCCCACATCTAAACAGGACTGCCCACATCTAAACAGGACTGCCCACATCTAAACAGGACTGCCCACATCTAAACATGACTGCCCACATCTGAACATGACTGCCCATATTTAAATATGACTGACCATGTTATTACGTGTTTTACGAATCAAAACTAACTCGCTTTAGGATTTCATTTATTTTCACGTAACTGATCAGTGCCGCGTTGTGGCAGTGTGCCGCGATTTGGCAGTGTGCCGCGATGTGACAGTGTGCCGTGATGTGACAGTGTGCCGTGATGTGGCAGTGTGCCGCGATTTGGCAGTGTGCCGCGATGTGGCAGTGTGCCGTGATGTGGCAGTGTGCCGCGATGTGGCAGTGTGCCGTGATGTGGCAGTGTGCCGTGATGTGGCAGTGTGCCGTGATGTGGCAGTGTGCC